CAGCGGTTCCCACAGCATCCGTAGCCGCAGCAGCCCTTCCCGCCGGCCCGCACGGTGGAGCAGCCGCTGCAGAGGACCTGGGGAGGAGAAAGTGACCCAGCTCGGAGCTGCCCCTCTGCCCAGGACGCCCCCCACCCCTTGGGGAAGGCAGAAGCCTGGGAGCCCAGCAACACCCCCCCTCTTTCCCCCCTCCCCGTTCGTCCCGCGAGTGTCACCAGCTGGCACCGAGGGCAGCGCCCGGCTCAAAGTCCAGGAGGAGAAGTTGAGCTTTGCCGAAACCGGCCGGCCCCACGCAGGCCTTCTTGTTGAGGGGGGCGGGGGGCCCAGAGTCACGGCTGGAGGCCGCTGAGGAAGGGGTCTCTCCCTCCCTCCCCCCCTGGCAAGACCGCCCCCTCCCCTGCCCTGGCCATCCAAGAAGTGATCCTCCTGCGGAGGTGTTGCCCCACCGGAGACCGTCAACCCGGAGCGTTTCGCTCCCGCTCTCGGTTTTCCGAGCTCCAGGAAGCGAGCCACTTTTTGGTGGTCCCCATCCTGCCCCCTGGGACTCCCCCCCACCGGGGCCCCTCACCATCAGCCCTCCGCCGATGACACCCCCCATGAGCCAGGCCTGGATGGTGATGTGATCCGGCGTCCAGCGCCCCTCGCCGTTGGGGAAGAAGAGGAGGATGTTGGCGGTGATGCAAGCCAGGGCCGCGGCCACCAGGACGAGGCCCACCAGGCGGGAGCACTTGCCGGTGCACATGGTGAGCGAGGTGGTCGGCGCAGGTCTCTAGGGTTCCCCTCCCTCTTTCGGTCTCTCTTGGTCTCTCTCTCGGTCTGGCACTCCACCCACCGGAGCCCCGGCGCTTCTTCCTCTTCCTCTTCCAGGCCAGGTGGCCCCAGAGCGCTGGGAGGGGCCTGAGGTCCAGAGGGCATCCCTTCCCAGGTACGGGGCAGAGGGCAGAGGGTGCAGTCCGGGGTGCGGTGCCAGAAACTCCAAGGGGAGCAGCTCTGGAGAACGTGGAGCCCTGCTTGGAGCGGGAGGGAGGGGGATCCATCGGTCTGGCTCTCCCGTTGACCCCGGGGCCCCTCTCCGCCCATCTCTGGCCCCTGGTGCTGACCACAGGCCCCTCCGATGCCCCCGAGACCCTCTCGGTTTCCCAAGATCCCCTGAGGCTGACTCCGCCCCCCCGCCCCACGGTTTTGGGGGTCGGGGTGCGGGCAGCGGTTGCTGCACCTCCAGGGCCGTGGCTGTGGGTGTGTGTAGGGGGGTGGGGGGTCCAAGGAGGGGGGAGGGGAGGAGAATCCTGGCCCCTCTTTTTGAGCTGGCGGTTCTGCGCGGCCGTTCGGAGACGGTGGGAGGGCCTCGTTTCACACGGGGAGGGAGGGGCGTCCCTTTCGGGGCGGGGCGGGGAGGCGCCTGATGCCCGCGACTGCTCTTCCTTTCCTGGGGGGACTCCATCAAGGGGGGGCCACCCATTCCATGCGTCTTCCCATCAAGATTGAGCCGCCAGGACTCAGGGACCCCCAGGGGGAGACCCCCCGCTCAGCCCGACCCTTTCCCGCCGCAGGGGTGGCGTTCAAATGGTTGAACAACCGGTTCTGGGGGCGTGGCTTAGACGGTGGGCGTGGCTTTGGGGGTCATGGGACCGGGTGGACGTGGTTTGGGGGGGTCACGTGATGGGCCCGGGCGTGGCCAGCTCAACATCCCCTCCCCTCGAGGCGCGCGTCCTCCTCGCCTGGATTCGCGTGAGTGTGGGGATTGCTGCAACTGTCGTAAGGGTGAAAAAGGGTCGTAAGTCGCTTTCTTTTTAGCGCCGTTGTAACTTGGAAGGGTTCGCTCCACCCAAGCCAAGGACCAGCAAAGGAGGAGTAAAAAAAAAAAAACGCCGGAGAAGCTCCGGAGACAGGAAGTCTAGTCCTGCCGAGGATGTAATAAGGGTAAACGGAGAGGCAGTTTCCGTCAGCAACCCCAGAATGTTTCCTTCCTGCCTTCCTTTACAGGATTAGCCCTGTAAATTCCTCTAATAACCGGTTCTCCAAACTGTTTAGAAGGTTAACAACTGGTTGTAGCGAATAGGGGCAAACCGGGGGAATACCACCCCTGTTTTCCACCCCCCGCAAGGCAGTCCAGGGACCATCCCTGCCAATATTGGGGGAGGGAAGTGAGACCCCCCCCTCCTGGGGATGGCAGGGAGGGGGTCTCCAGAGGAGGGCCCAGCTCCAGGCAGGGAGGGGGGCCCTCTCTCGGTTCCCACATAAGGGGGGTGGGCTAGCTTGCCTTGGCACACTGGCCCTGATTCTGGGGGCACTGGGGACTCCTGGGAGAGAGAGGTGGGGAGGGGCCAGCAGAGGAGGGGGAGGGGGCAGGGTCAGCAAAGGGG